CTCGTTTAGTTTTACTCGGAGGTTAGTTTGAACGCGAATAAGAGGAATTAGCGTCGTAAATAGAAATTCTTTTATTAAATAATAAACGTTTATGTTGCTGGAGTGTACAAACTCGCAGTTAAACTGCTGATTTTTATTTTATTCTACTCTACTATATTCTATTATATATATATATTTTACTTTAAAATATGTATTATATTATTTATTATATTTTTCTACTCTAAAATATATATATAAAATCCAAGGAACAGCTCTTTTCATCTAGAAGAGTTTCTATTTTCTTATTTATAATTCTATAAGACATTTAATTTACAATTCCATTTTATATAATATTTTCAAATTCTTCGTCAACTTCCCGAGCTGAGGAATAGCTTCTCTCGTTCCGAAGAAAAAAGAAAAAAAAAAGAAAAAAATCGCCCTTAAAGTCAAGCTACGTTTAGAGGCGAAAGGTCGACACTCTCCAAATCCCCATGCGTCTGTTTATTGCGAAAACGTATTCAACGTTTCGCGCGAGCGATATCATCACTCGGAGGTCACACCCCCGGAAAAGCCAAATCCCGGATAATTCGAAAGTTGAAAATTTCAAATAGCAGCGGCACGAGGAATAAATCAGGCGGTTGACCGCGGCTGCAACGCGAACGAAGATGAATGTTCGTCAATCATCGAGCCGCGTGACGATAAATCAAAAGGCACGGGGGAGGGGCGAATCCTCGCGTTAAAACGTTCGCGTGCACTCGCCGGAGAGAGAGCTGGCCCGCGTTATACACAGGGAAAATCGAATTACCGAGCGAAATAATACTCGAGCGGGCAACGAATCGATAATTGGAGAATTTCTGGGCGGGGATCTGTCCGGCACCACCGGCCGACGATGGAATCGAATTATAAACCCAACGCCGATATTAAAGTGAACTAATGTCTCGACGAGATTGCTCTGTAATGCGCGTGCTCTCCTCTCGTTTCGTCGCGATTTAATGGCGAATCAAAAAATAATATCGCGGCTAAGTGGCTGGGGATGTTGATTGGCCTGCCGGAACGAACGAAATTCCGAAAGTTGTTTTTAAGCTGACTTGATACCCTAGTAATTGCATCGACATTTTGTTGGTAGTTGGTAGGTCACGTGTAAAGAATCTTGGGGATTTTTTCTTTCCGCGATTAGAACGGATAAGAGATTAAACGGCTCCTATATGTTAATGTCGATGTTTAATTAAGGATCGGGGATTTAGTTTTTAATTAAAAAGATTATTAAGATTAAGGATTTAATTTTAATTAAAAAAATTGTTAAAACGTTCCCTTTTGAGTAAAATAGACAGCGGACGAAGAATTTTCGCGTGATTTTCGAATATTCTCGTATCAATTGTTTGATTGGAATCTCCATTTTTCAATGTTCGTTCCAGCTTTTAAATTGAAGCTTTTTTTAAATTGAAATTATGTAAAGTATCATGAGGTTTTTTCCCATGTTACGGAATAACAGTTGAGCGATGGAGTACTATGAGGTTTTTTTTCTATGTTGTAAAATAACAGTCGAGCGACAGATTATTATGAGTTTTTTCTACATCACGGAATAACAGTTGAGCAATGAAGTATTGTTTAATTTTAAAACATCAAACTCAGTTCATTATTAACTTTAATAAAAAATTTGAAAACTTGAAGCTTTATAATTGTTCATAAATAATTTATAATATCTTTATAAATAATTTTAAGACTCTTGCCAATATTTTACAGAAAAACGTACTCAATTCATAAACTTATGCACATCAATCGTGTAGAAAATAAAATTAATCTTCAAGTTAGACTTCTTAAAAATGGTACAAACGAATTTCTTTCGTAATTAATAATAAAAAAAAAACACAACATAGTAATAATTATAAAAAAAATTCGTAAAAATGCTTAAAAACGTGTGAACAAATTCTGATTACGGCACACGTGAAAATTTTTAATTATCTCCCAAACGAATTCGACAATTACATTTTATTCCGGCGATTTTTACATTGATTTTTAATATCCAATTACGTATGCAACATGATTATCGAGAATTATTTGTTTATTCGTTTATTTATCAGTGAACACGGCGATAATAATTCTTTGTTCCACGGGTTATGACAACAATTCTCAATTTTCTTTTTACGTATATTTTTTGCGTATTATCGAGAATTTATAACAGGGGATATATTCGGCGAATGTTTTCCATGACAAAGATTTTGTTAATTATTAAAATATGAAAATACAGTATAAAATAAATACAAAAGTATAAAATAAAATATATAAAATATAATAAAGTAATCGCGAGTTATGATATGCACGACGAAACAGCACAACAAGAATTAAAATCGGGACCGAGTTGCCCTTACGCGATAATATTAAATTGTTACGCCTCAAGACTGAGATAATTGTCATGTACAAATTACTTTCAATTAGCTTGTAAATTTTCGAAAATCGCCGAGATACAAGACCGTTCCACGATTTACGAAATAATTTCATTTCGATAGTGCGTACTTTAATCCTGAATCAGCAGCATCGTTTAGAAAAATTTATTACGATTTATCGTCGTGTAGATATTTCATTGTAATATTTCGTGCTCCGTGATGGAAAATTTTAGGCATATTGTGATTGTTTTCTCGTTATTCGTTCGAAGAAATAGCGTATATTTTGATTTTCGTGATGCGAGAAATGTAATTTATGAAATTTCACGAATATTTCATTAACGTGTTTCAATATTCTTGAAAAATATTAAATTTAAACTATATAATTATCATTTCTTATCAATTCACTGCGAGTATTTACGTAAATTTATAATATTTTTTATGAATATTCTGATAGAAATATAATCTAAATAAAAATTTTAATATTTCGATATTTGAAAATTTAAATTAACAGTTTGTAGAAGTAAGTAATATTGACAATTTTTATTATTTTATAAGTATTTTTCAATATCTTTGGTGTTCTGCAATTCTTCGTCATTAATGATAAAATAAATAGAATTCTATATTGTATCAAGAATGAATTACAAGGATTATAATCTGTAAATATATTCTTATATCGAGCAAGATGAATTAAGTTTCATCTTCGATAAATATTAACAGCCTGTGAAATTTTTTACAGTGTTATAGCTATATAAATTTCAACGTTTTCACTATTTAATATATATTAAAATATTAATATTTCATATTTACTTAATAGTATTTCGATTTCGAACATTATCATTAGCTCATTAACATCAAAGACTCAAAACTTCAATTCCCACAATTTTCTGCTCAGATTTTATCTTTTAAATTAAAGAAAAATATTCAATTAATTATATGAACGTTCGTAGTTACCACTGACCAGTGTACAATGTTACATAAAACTTTCCATTCGAATCAGATCACATAATCAATCGCTATAATGATCTCGTCGAGGCAATCGTTCTATATTCTCTTTCAAAAAAAAAAAAAAAAAGAAAAAAAAGGATAGAAAGAAAGCGTGGAATTTTAAACGAAAGCTCGCAACAGCAATGATAAATTAGCATAATGACGACGCGTAAATTGGAAAGCATCGTTAATTAAGAATTAACGCGCGCGCGAAATTCAACGAATGAAAATTCCAGGTGTTACCGTTCGTTTCGAGAGCCATAAAGTCCTCGATAATTTATTCCTCGTTCGACGTACATACTGTCAGACATTGTAAGTCACCCGGAACAACGTTAATGTCGGCCGATAATCAAACGCGCGTTCGTGCCGGCATCTGGAAATAATCGGGCCAATAAATTCGCCGATACCGTGAAATTCGCCGATTTCTCCAGCTCTTTGCGAATTCGTTGTCCACTACAGCGAGAGGAATAACGATCTGGTTCGAAACGATTCGAAATTAGTCGCTCGTGCAACGATAATTGTTTCGCGTGTCTCGGAGAAGAAAAGAATTGAACAACGTGTGTCGATACAGAGGATAATTATAACTTCCACGGAGGGAATAGGTGTTTCTCGATAATGCGTTGACAATCGTTTTTTTTTTTTTTCGAAGAAGTTTATGGTAAAATTTGAGAGATAAATTATGAATATTAGACGTGTTGATAATATTGACAAGTTATCGGTGCTTCAGAAAAATAGCGTTTTTATTATTGTGTCATTTCGTTGTGAATTTTCATTTATGTATGGAATACTAAAGAACGTTAAGTGAATTTGTTGGTAAAATAAGTGTCCTCTTTTTTTTTTAGCGAGGCAACATCGAATTACATGCTATATTGGAGACATTTTGAATTATAGTTGTATATTTATCGAATTTAACGTAGCATTGTTATTATTATTCATGTCTGTTTAACGTTCGACGTGATATTGAATATTCCATAGCTTGTAAAAGCTATTTGAAGAAATTCATTATCAAACGACGTAACTCGGTCATCTTAAAAATTTATCTTTCACATAAATGAGAGCAAGATCTTCAACATGTATATACACAAAATTAGAACATACAAAATTAGAGCGCGCTAAAAGTAATTCTCTTCCAGTATTACGTTAGACTAGACTAGAAATTTTAAATCACGATATAGCATTTAAAAATATTTTAAGAATTTTAGATTTTAATATAGTGTAGCATTATAATGTTTTAAATTATAACTAGTTAATAGTGTAATTCTAATGCAATTTTACCAGGAAACGTCGCACCGGAGGGGACGAGCCAAATCATCGGCAAACACAACAATAACTAACCAATCTTTTTTTCCAGGACGGCATTTACAGGTATTCTCGCGTAAGATCGAGGTAACGCGACCCCTTCGTATTCCCACGAATTGTCCTTTTCTAATAATCTATAAATGTCGCGACGTGTTAATTATTCACAACTTTTCATCCGTGTTCCACCCCTTCGTTCAACTTATCCTATCGAATCCAAACGAATTGGTACGGAAGTAAACAAAAAGTAAACAAAAGTGACAAAATGTAGAGTAGAAAAATTTAGAGAAAAAAAAAAAGTAAAAGAAAAAAAAAAAGAAAGAAAGGAATTGAAAGGAACGAAGAGTCGAGCCATCTGAACAAAGACGAAGTTTTTCTAAAGTGAGATTCTCAATGTTGTTGTATCTTGCGCGCCTTCGTGGTCGTGGTCGAAAATCGGGCCGAACGCACGCAATTGGATCTACACAACGGGTGTTAAGAATGCTGCGGCGACAATAAGTGCAAGGCGACTTCACGGCGCCATGGTCACCTTCACCAGCCCAGAGTCCCACCTGGTAAGCCTCAGTATCCAAAAGCTTTCAACCAAAAAAAAAAAAAAAATTTGGAAAAAAAAAAAAAAAAAAAAAAAAAAGGGAAAAGAAAAAACGATGAGAGAAATGAGAGAAAGTACATATTATTAAATCGGGGAAACGTCGAGGGCACGGGAAAAGAAGCGAGGAATAGCGGTGAAACGGTGAACGGGGGAAGAAGAGAAACGACGCCGGGGCGTCGTTAGCGGACCCGGCACCTCGTTATCATGTATCGTTTCGTAATTATTATTACACGCTGCTGCCAACCCGGTGAAGTGCACCGAGCGCACCGAGTACATTTAGCGCGTGCTTAATACCCCGTCGCCTGGCTCGATTCCTTTTGATAATTGCGATAAATATAATAATGATAATGACGATGGAACGTTTTCTTCTTGGGCTCGCCAACGGCTGCTGCACAGCCGTTCCTCCGTCTCCATCGTCTCTTCGCGCAATGAATTTCGTCTAGGCGTCGCGTAATTTCGTCCGACGACGACGACGACGAAACCCACCCCCCCGCCCTTTTCATCCGCGGACTCGCTCGAGTCGTTCCGATGAAAGAAAATTCTCCGACGAATAAAAACGCTTATGGATCCAAATCGTCGATCGACGTCCGACGTTTATTCCTGTTTCCCCGGTTCGATTAATTAAATCTCGTCTGATGTTATATTGCCAAAGGGTTATCGATCTCTCGAGCGATGTTTAAGAACGTTGAGCTCAACGAAATCGGCAATCCGTACTGAACGTACGCGAAACCATATTGTGTATTCATTGTGGATCATAGTTTTGAAGATGTAGTAAGGTTTATGTATCACAAAAATGAATATATATTCATTTAAATACTTCGATAATTGGTACGATAATTGGTGTAAACAATAAGCAAGAATAATTGAATAATTGAAGATAGATTTATACTAATAGACAGCTAATATTTGTTTCATATTATATTGTATTTAAATTTAATTTCAATTTTTAATTTAATATAATGTTATTGAGTTGTACATAAATATAATATGACATACTATTATATTATACTTCTATTCTATTATTATAAAGTGACTCGTTGTGATTAGACAAAGTGAGATACTTGTGTCTAACTACATCATCAAGATTTATACAAATTTCACAAACTGTCGCATATTCGTTGCAAATAAATATAGAAATTCAACGAGACGTGTATATTTCTTATCTCAATTTTAAGGAGATTATTTCATTGCGAGAAATAAGAATATTAGAATGAAACAAATGTATTAATCTTTCGATCGTATCGCGTCAATTGTCCAAACAATTATGGACCATCGACAACGGTGTATCTGCACGAACGGTATTTCGGCGCATTTCCATTCCATTAAATTGAAGATCGGCGCGATCTGTTTTTCGATACAACGCAAATGCATTTTCCGCGTTCCATGAATTTTCGCGCAAACGCGACGCCCTCTCATTTTCGATCGTTCGTTTCGACCTGCGCCGTATTAACGATCCTGTGTAATTAACCAAAATGAGAACGCACGTTTTCAACCTCCGAGTCAATTTATTCAAACTTCATTTTCTCAAATGAAGTCTTAGACGTGAGTGTTTCTTTTCGATTTACATTTTGGATCACCATTCTTCATTTCAACTGTACTATGAAAATCATAGGGCATTATTACAACGAGAATGAAAAGAGAATGGGCATCTTGAACGCTTGTTTTAACATTTTATATTTAATATTTTCTAGAAATTTTCTATCGAGTCAAGATCTGAAGAATTAGGTGACTTTTGGTGTTTTTCAGCAATCTTTAATCACTTCTGCTTAAATCTCGATCTCGTGAATCTTCGATTTTAATATCCGAATTTGTTCATAGTACTATTTAAAAGAATCGACTGTTTTAAGTTCTCCTATTCAAAATTGCGTCTAATTCTGTATACGTTTATGTGTGTGTTTCACGTTTGAAATACCAGAAAAATCATATGTACTACTACAGGTTTTCAGTAATATACTCCATGTGCTCCTATAATATATCCATGTACAGGGTAATATATATACGTGAATCTCGTTTTTGTTACGAATCGACTTTTGAACAACACTCTCACTACGAATAAGAAAAAGCAGACTCACATTGAATGTCGATCTTGGCGGGTGAACTCTCAATGGAAAATCCAGTTTCCTCGTGAGTGGCGACGCAGACGAAGTTCCCGCTGTCGAGAATCCGATTGACCCTGGTTATACGAAGATCGCCGTCATCCTGGTGTCTACGTGGACTCGGTGCCAACGGTTGTCCGTCGATTTTCCACGAGTAATTGACCCGCGAGCTCGGCTGCGCTTCGCATCTCAGCCGTACAGGTGATCCCTCGACCACCGTGTGCTCGCCGGGACTCACAGAAAAATACAGATCGCCATCTTGGCCAAACACCGCCGGTACCACTGCGCAAAAAAAACATAATTGATCAAATGTCGCGCCATTTCATGCAATTGGAGCAATAGTCTGCCGACAGTAACTAAAATTTTTAATAGAAACGCATTCTGGTAAACTGATAACGAATCCGTCATTTCGAGAGTTTTCTCGCAACTAGAATACGGATCTTTATGGAAATTCATATGTTTGAAAATATAATTACAGAGATACGAGATTGTTTTGTGTAGGTATCAAATATTGTATATATTATATATATTATATTATATTTTCGATATTTTATACATCATTTGTATCACGTACGATCTTGTAAAAAAATTCCTATAAATTCGTAAATATTTGAGATTGCGTTTCAACGTTTTTTAAGGCACGCAATTATATTATTAAAGTTAGCAAAATACTTAGTTTGCAGTAGACTTGTAACGCGAATATTGCGACTATTTGCATTTTCATGCACCGTGTCGTTTCAATTTTTTACAACCAGAGAAACTCTTAATTTCCTGCAAACGAAATCCATCAAGCACTACGAAAGTACAGACATATCATCCCATGGAAGAGACACGGGCGTGAGGTTCCCAGACTCTCCCCGCAAACTTGTCCTTTCACATATTTCACTTCGTTCGTACGAACGAACTATAATTTTATCAAAGTAATTCCACCGAAAGATTGATTTTATTCGAGATAAAGGCTAAAGAATCTTTCGGGGGATAAAATTCGAGCACGTTATCCGATCATCCGTTCAACTTTACTAGAAGAGACACAGAGAGAGAGAGAGAGAGAGAGAGAGAGAATAAAATTCCTTTCCGTCCCGACGATATCCCAACGAATAAACCCCTTTGACTTTGCGATCGTACGCGAATTCCACTAAACGAGAGTGGTCGCGTCGATTGATTTCGTCTCTCGAAACTTTCGGTTCGACGCCCCGGGGATCGCTCGCAATCAGGGCCGCGAAACCGTCAACCGGCAGGTCGTTATTAAAAATTCGCTAATTATCAGGGTGGAGCGGGAACAATCGAACGATAAACAGCGACGGGGGAACGCTCTAAAACGGATCGTAACAAGGATCGTAACTTTGCTGTTTGAATGAGGCGGGAGGCCTCATTAAGCTGATTGATAATTAGCACGGGGCAACGTTGTTGTATCGATGTCCTTTGATTTCCACGGAGCAGAGAACCGCTTCGTTTAATACGATTTTTTTTCCTTCCTTCTCTCTCTCTCTCTCTCTCTCTCTCTTCTTTCTTTCTTTGTTTTTTTTCTGTTTTCGTCGAGATTTCACCGCGTACGCTCTCTTTTTCACCAAGCTTTCCCTTCGTCGTATTTCCAAGGTAGACACGCACAGTCCCTAGAGTAATTCCGCACAATTTGCCGATTGCCGCGAGCGGGTATCTGCCGCGTCAACGATCCGCGCCGAGCAAGAAGAACCAGAAGGGAAAGATAATATCCGAATGACGTCCGTGAAATACGCGGAGCACGTATTCAACGACGACGAGTAGAACCGGCTGCGATCGAGAGAAAGACGTCTACTACTCGCTCAACGAGCTTATTAGCTGCTCGTTAACAAGCTCCTCTCTCTCTCTCTCTCTCTCTCTCTCTACCGGGACGCAACGATTTAAGCTTTCTCAGCTAATTAAGCAAACCTCCTGATCTTGTTCCGACGCGTATCAGGGAAACTTGGACTCGAGTGTGTTCCGACTTCTGGCGAACTTGAGACAAAAAGCGAGACACATTGTCAGTCTCCATAGATAGGTACGTAGATAGCTACATAAAGAGAACGAAATTCTCAAACGGTGTGCGTGCTCCGATTTGGACGAAATTTACGAACGATGGTTTCTTATTTCAAGAATTTCTAACAAACGCACGAACAACGTAACAACGAAGTAGGGTTTGATAATAATTCCTGTACCTTCGAATGATGGTAATTTAAATTAAAATTCACAGGAGCCGAAACAGTAGAATTCGAAATCGACGAAAATTCTTCACTCGCGAGCGATTGTTTCCGTTTCTGAAGGGAGCCTGTTTTCAAATTTGAAGCTCGAAACATGCAGCGAGAAGAGCGAAAGGAGAGAGGCGAAGAAAGAAAGGAAAGAGAGCAGTTTTTAGTCGTTTCGTGCGCCAACCGCGCAACGAAAAATTTCGCTTTCCGTGCAACGTCCGTGAACAAACGTTGGGAACGAGCTGCAAATAGTCGGCCGTGCAAATTAAACGAACCACAGCGGAAAGGGTGGCACGGTGGCGCGAGCACAGCAAAAGGCGGACATGGACAGCCAGAGGGAACACGGGTTAGGAAAAACGAGCGGAGGGGGGTAAAAAAAGAAAAAAAAAAAATCGTAACAAGAATCATCTGTTCGAGCATATTTTTTTCGGTCGGCGAGCGCTACCGCTTCCGCGTGGTAAAAATGATAGATAGAGGGGAAAAAAAGGAGGAAAAAAAAAAAAATCGTGAGAGCATTCGCGTTCACGCTCGCGGCATTCATCGATCGATCGTATCGCCGATTTCGCAAAACGTTCGAAATTGTGACGAGGAGAAAGAGTAGCATTTTTCCATAAAACCGAATATAAAGATCGATCGAATGAACGTTCAAGTATGGCTCAGCA